CGCGCCCGCCTCCCCCGCCCCGGCCCGCCCCGCCCGCGCTGACGCAGCTGCTCGGCTGCGCCCCTCATTCAGCCGTAAACACGGCGTGGCTGCCCGCACGGCAGCGCCCGGCACCGGCAGGCGTTGTCCTGGGACCCAGGTTCCTGCCGCCGTGTGCCGGTACCTGCGGCCCTGCCGTACAGTAACGTCCTCTGAGCGAATTGTGTGCGTCCGATTAAAAATCATGCAAGGCAAAAAATTGTAGTGAGCATCATTAACTCTACTGTGAGAGCTACGTACTAATATCAAGGCAATAGAGTGACATTCACAAAAAACTCTTAACAGTAGGAATACCCACATAGGTCCAAACCGGTATTTGCTTCTTCAGGTACTCAAGGGAATTAGGGGGATGTTGGCACATTCTGCTCTGAGAATTGGCCAGTATGCCAATGCCTCTGCTTGAAGACAGTATCCCCAGGCCTTGACGTCATCATTTACATCATCACATAGGGAAGTTGTCATGGAACTGATGCTGCACCAACTGAGAGCTTTAACATGAATTGTGCAGTTTCTGTCCTGAACTTTGAGTTACCCCGAGGTTAATTGTTTGCTCTGCTTGAGAGGACAGTGTTGGGCTTAACTAGAGAGGAGGAGGCCTGCAAATCGGGAGATGACTTTCAGGGGCATCATGGCTGTCTGCATGCCCTGCCCTCAACCCCGGTGAGCTCATGATCTCAGGCTCATGCAGGGAGCAGCTCCGTGCGTTTGCCTGGCTCTGTGTTTGAGCTCAGCAGTGCAGCTGTTCGGCCACAGTGTCCCAGAGTGCAGGGCATTGAGGACACTGTATGCGGCCAGTCCAGCTCTGGAGGTTCCTGTGCAGAGCTGTAGTATATGTGCACGCACTCTGGGAAGGAGCTGAGCCTCCCAGAAAGCCACACAGGGAGCTTGTCCTGTTCTGCTGAAGGCTGGCGATGGAGGCACCGAAGGCTTTGTGGCCTTCAACTGGCAACAGCTACTGGACTGCAGGGCTTTTCACCTTGAAAGGACTGTATTTCTTGCAGACCCAATCAGATGTGAAAGTCAGTGGTTATGAATTTGTGCAATGTCAGACTCTAGTTACCCCTCCAGGAAAACAATGTAGAGGAATTATTTGTTTTAAACAATATGTATAACTTTTCTTATTTGAGCCTTTAGGGATTATGATCCCAAAGCTTCCTTTGAAAATGCAAAGTGTAGAACTTCTAATAGTTGAATAAACATTAGAATTTCCTACAGGTCTACCACTTAAGAACTTGGAACTTTAAATAAAAACTAGAAAGATAGCATTATTGAAAGAACCAGAATGTTGCTCCACTGTTAGTTCAGAAATGTATGTGCTAAAGCGCACCAGGGGTTCTTTGGGAATTCAGGATGGCAGTGGTAATCATACTTAGCTGTGGGGAAGCATGAAGCAAGTAGGAGTTACAGAATTGCCTGTGCTCTACCAGCCTATGGTCTATGGTTGGGTAGTTCAGTGGCCTGTGCCCTGCCGTGGGTCCTGCTGGTCCTGGCTGTGAAGAGTGAGCAGATGTGCTAGCCCAGCTGCTCCAAGGATCCCCAATTCTGTCTGGGATGGTGGGATTGGCCCTGACCCTGGCTGGTCAGCCCCCAAGGGGACTCTTCCGCTCTGACAATCAACTCAACCAAGTCTTTGCAACAAGTCTTTGCCATATTCTGTAAATATTCTCTCAGGTATATTGAAAAAGTATGAAATTACATAGTAGACAGAAAAAAAATATAGGCTTGAAGTAAACATGACATGACCTGCTGGTAGGTACTGATGGCCTTTCCCACTGTGCCTTTGCAAAGACTCATATTTGAATGACATTAAGGGAGAATTTTCGCAAAAAACCCACCCTAGCTTCCCACCAGCCCCCAACAATCTGACAAAATAGGATTTTGTGTTGCATGGCCCTTGCTTATTCCACAAGAGAACTAGTGAGAGAAGGAGCGGTCATTGCAGGGTACTGGTTCTGTTGCTCCATGCACTGCTGGTGGGCGCCCGGGTGCACGACACAGGAGTCCGTACAGGGATGAACGTGTGGATCCCAAAGAGGCTGTGCTGCTGCTGACTGACAGGCTGCATGATGTGTCTTAGGCTGGCTGCTGCCCAGGTTTTGAGAAACCACAAGTCAGATTTGCATCCAAAATGAGTCTGTTGCTAAAAACTTCTTGGTTTAAAACGTGATTTTAGAACCACACATTTTACACTCTCTTTGGAGCATGTCTAGCCTTATGGAAGATATTAAAAAGGTAGCAGCACTGCTGGATTTGCATAAGATAACAGATTAAAATAAATTATCCTACAGAGATAAACCTTTTTATCACCAAACTGTTTGGTTTACAAGAACTTCATTATGTTTGAGCACAGTTGTGTAGAACTGAGCCTAGTTGCCTGAAAAATTACTTTTCTCCCTGTGATGCACTGCCAAGTCAAACTCCACAGAGATTCACACCTTTGAACTCTGCAAATGAAGTATGAAGAAGCAGCTGGCAGGGCATTAATTATCTGTGAGAGATGCCCAAGTGTGGAAAGCTCTATCCAGTGTTGTCCACCAGAACCTGGATTTGCTTATCTTTGGGAATGCAGCAAATTCCATGTTACTTTTCTTCTTTGTTGAAAAAATTGGAGGATTTGGTTTGAATAGGTATGTTTACAGCTGATACTTTTACTCATACCTGATTTTAAAAGTCCACAGTTTAGAACCATACACTTGTATTTTCAAACAATGTGTAATTGCCAATGTCCTAGTAATACCCGAATTTGGGATTGTTTTTGGTTTTGTTTTTTTATTATTGTTATTAATTATTCTCACAGAACAAAGAAGTTGTGATGGCATCAATTAATTACATTTGTCCAAATTTGTAAATTTTTCCAGAGTATTGCCTGAGAATCTTCATCCTTGTTTTCTTTCAGTTCCTTCTTCCCTACCTTCCTTTCTTTCCTTTAATCAAAGAGAACAAGCTTACAAAAAGCTTCAGCAATAGAAAGCACTGGGCTATGCAGCATATAGGCAAACTGCAGAGCTCATTGCTATACACAGTCACAAAAGCAGTTCTCTAATGAATTACAAAACTGATTAGATACTTTCAGCAATACAGCAGAGCTAAAGCAGTCCATGCTCTTTGTGTCATATATCTATCTGTGTGTATACTTATATATGAAAGGAGGATTTAATTTCCCAGCACTGTAATCCCTGAGACTTCTTGAAAATTACTTTTACTAAAAATAATTAATATTTTTAGAATAAGTAATTAACATTCATTCTTCTGGGTTTATGCTGATAGCCTCTGAGGAAATGTGAAGCCTTCTTTTTCTATGCAGTAAGTAAGCAACTGGCAGTATGGTACTGGGTCATTGGGTGCAGAACTTAGTTTTTGAGGAGGATTTTTAGGCTTCTGTTCATCTTGTGAGGTGAAAGATTCATGTATGTTTTACAGAAAGTGTAGGCTAGAAAAAGGTATGCACTTCAAAAATTTCTTATGAGCATCCTAATTAGATCAGGAAGAATGTGTGCTTAGTCTAATTGTTACAGTATTTATTTTGAAAACAGTCTGTGCCATTATTTTATCTAACACTATAGAAACAACCTTCGAAACATAACTGTATATCTTACACATCATTTAAACAAATCAAACCCTTTGTACTGTCTATGTGCTTACTGCTCATATCTGGGCTTAAGAGACAAAATGGTTTTCTAGAATTTATGGATCTTTCCAAACAAATTTTATCAATGTCTCAAGTCATATTTTAAAGGACACTTAGATGCATCCTTCTTAATTGCTTCTCTTGTTTTGGAATTATTTATTCTGCACTCTTCTTCAAAGTCCTCCCTTTACACTTGCATTACTGTTTTTATTTTCTTGGTTTTCTGCCTGCCTCACTAATTTTTTTCCTATCACATCTTCACTTCCTAAAATTGTCACAAAGATCTGTATTTAGCCTACTACAGCTTTGTAGAGAGATTCATGCCTGTCTTTGGGTTCTGGATATTGCTGAATCCAGTTTCCCACTGAGGGATAGACCAACCAGGAACTTAAGCTGATGGAAATTATTTCACCCTTGTCATCACTCAAATATATTATTCTTTCTAGATTTCTTACCACATTATTGTCCCTTATGTCACCTGGGTTCATAAATCACCTTCAACAAATGCAAAGAACCACTTGAGTGAAGCAGGAAACTTACTTTTCATAGAACAGGAGAACATATTTTTAAATTCTTGAGGTTAAAACTGTCAAACTGAGCTGGGAATCTCATGACTGTGGCTTGCTTTCCCAGGTGAATATATGCATTGTTAGTCCCAGAATCACACCAGTCTCAAGCAACACTCCATGGATCCCATAAACACCATTTTTTTTTTCCTTAACAACAGTGAACACCCAAATAATTTGTCAGCATCAATCTGGAATGAAATTCTTTGATGCACAACCTGGGTGGGGTGCAGTCATTTTGGGGAAGCGGGGGTTATTTACCGCCATCAGCAGCAGTGCAGCCGTGAGACCATTCTAAATTACATCAGCATTTTGACTCTCCCAAAGAAAGGATCCTTCATTACTGCATTTTTTTTTATTATTATTTATTTAAATTTATTTTTGTAGTAA